TGGCTTGACAGCTACACACAGCTCCGTGCAAAAGATCAGCTTCCCGAGTAGAAGGAATTACGATTGCTCAGCTCAAGAATAAGGTGGGCCCTGCACAGGATAGAAACGCAGCAGCCTGACAACACAACGCTGGTGCTCACCCGTGCAACCCAACTGGACGAGAGACACGCACAAGCACGCACGGCTCTGCCAGCCGCAATGCCACATCACGTCCCTCGTATGCGCCCGCTTGCCCGACCTTGTGAGTGCTCTGCTAGTTCAGCTGATAAAAATTACGGTCCTGGGTCACTTCCTAAGTGCCAGTGACTTGATGTTAGTCATTGTTTCCAGGCTGTATCTATCTGGGAAACTTCAGTTTCCTTTCTTGGGTTGCTTGTTTTTTCCATGATATTAACTGCTATCTAGGGAAGACCTAGTCCAGCAGCCACTCGAAGGATCTCAGCAGGAGAAGTTCTAGTTGGGGCTGCTCTGCCTTGTTGCCCAGACTGAGCTTTCACATGTCCATAATTTCAGCCATGAGCTGGGTCTACGAAGATATCAGGTCCCAGGTACAGGCTTGTCAAACCTGGTGAAGGGTGGAGGCATTTAAAATGTAAAGTGTAAGGATGAAATATCAATTTTTTGTGCAAAGTCCATCTTTGGTGTAACACCAAAGAATTAAAGGGAAGGAGGGAAGTAAAATCCTGGGATCTGATAAACACCTTCCAAAAAGTGCTTCATCTGCAAAGATCTCACAATTATGGCTTAGCAGGCTCTCTCTGCTAGAGGTGAAATTATGCCCAGGCCTGGGCTGCAGCTCTCACATCCCATTGCAAAATTAATACTGCTTTTAACGAAGCAGCATGTAGAACAGCCTAATCCTGCAAACAGTGGTTGGACAAAATTAAAATATATGGCTCAGACTGATGACACCATAGCTCTGCTGCAGACTATTACAGCTATCCATCTGCTGAGGGCTTCCTGCTGCCAGACTGAGCATCAAAACTGAGGAAAAATGCTTACAGGAAGTTTTTATTTCTAGCAGGAGACCAACTGAATACAGCTTTACAGCCAAATGATGATTTCTGACAAGGCATTAGGCTAAAAGTGGGGTTTTTTTAAAAAAATCCTATAGCACAGAAACATAGTTTGACTCTACAGATTGGAGCAGGCTGAATTTGCAGGACTGGAAGTTAGATAAAAGCTTTGATTTGACATATAAAACTCAACAAGTGTGATCTGGAAGTCATTGATGGAGAATAAATGCAGAACGCAAAGATGTAGAACTTTTACAGCCTCACTTTTCAGGCCATATAACTACACTTTAGAATTTAAAACAGCTGCTGTTCACCAGCATGTCTCCAGTGCCTAATTTTTAATCACGTAAAGGCAGCATGCCAAGTTTCCAGAATCTTTTTCCCAGAGCATCAACAGTGTTCATAACATCTCTGCCTACTGATGAGATCATGAAAAGGACTCGTGCTTGTACCCTTCTCCATGTTTGGCTGAGACATCCTACAGCTTCCTTGGTAGCGAAAACTGCTATTAAGCATTGCCTTTCAAAACTCAGCTATTCTTCACATCCAGATAGGTGTTATAACATATAAATCTATTCCTGTGTAAACAATGGCACCAAAATAATCCAAACCAACTTCCCAGGAACTTCGCAGTCCTTAGCCTTCTACACAGGAACGAGCTGGGAATGAGACCATCTTTCTGATGGGTTTTGCCGTACATGGGCTCAGGTCTCCTCCGGAGCTGCATCGGTGCTCAGCTCTCATGCAGAGGGAGGAGGTCCGGCTGCAAGGGGGTGACTCCCACCTGGCTGCAGCATCCTGGGGTGAACGTGTGGATGGGAGAAAAGGACAAAGCACAAAGGACAAAGCACTGCAGGAGGAGGTCTGTGAGACCTCGTGGGAGGGATGAGGACATCTAGAAGGAAGCAACGGGATGAGTTGGGGAGGACTGATGGAGGTCAGGGTTCCCAGGAACTCTGGAGAGGGAAGGAGAGAGGAGGGAATTTCAGGAGGAGGAAGGCAGAGGAAGAAGCTGCGTGCTGGCAGGTCACTCCTGCTGTCCAGACCCAAAGGTGGAGGAGCAGGCTGCACAATCCAGAAGAGACATGATAAAAGGAAAGAAATCCAGATGTGGCGAGGCTCTGGAGTGGGAGAATTCCACCGCTCTCGTCTCAACATAGCAGTTTGCTCCCTGGCACAGGCATAGCTTAAGCAGGATCTTAATTAGGCAGTCTTTGAAATGAGGGAGAACCAAGAGCCGAGGCACACAACAGGGTCTCTCACAAGCACTGGGAAGCTGTGGAGGATATGTGTGTGAGCAGAGGGGAGGGGACAAATGGCTTCAGCCATCCGTCGTTTTGCCCGGAGCAGGATAAAACAGTCTGTACTTCCCCACCGGGATGCCCTCTGAGACAGGAAGGCACAAACTCCTCATGCCAGTTACTTACTTTCAGGCCTGGGGGGCCAGGTGAGCCAGGGTTTCCATGGGGACCTGGGGGACCCTAAAAAACACAACAAACACAAAACAGAGTCAAAAGGAGTCAGTAGGCATCTGTGTGAGCCCCAGGACCGGCAGAACATCTCAGGCCAGCCCTCGGAGCACACCACCATCACCCCGGGGAGACAGCTTCAACTGGGCTCTCGGGGGCGTGGGATTTGGCTGCTGGTCCCCACCTCCCTTGGCAGAGGGTGACATGTGTGTTTCACCACAAGATGTGTCACGACAGCAAAATGATCTGAGCACACCAAATAGCCCACAACCAGGAACAGGAGCTACTTTGGGGTCAAGGGATTTAAAGCTCTGCAAGGAGCCCCAGCAGAGAGAGATGGAGGACGGCAGGGTGGTAACAACCTTTTTGGCCAAAACGGAAGACGACACAACTAGTTACTAAAGGGAAATTTAAACTTGTTCAGCTATTTGAGAGTAACTCATTTCCTCAGAAACCAGATTTTTGTCTTTAGAGGTTAGAAAAAGAATGGATGGCCAGACAGTAAAATGGAGGGAGCAGAGGTAAGTCACTATTTAAACCACTTAAATCTATATTTTTGCATAGGTCTCACAAGGCAATGACACCAAGTATCTACATCAGACCACATACAGCACTATCTCCTTTTACATCATATTTTAAAACCACCCTGCATATTTTCCGAAGGCTATTGAAGGAGTTATCTAAAATAAGCAGCTAAGAATAGTTTATCCCAGGATTGTATACAGCCCAGAAGATCTGTTAACCTTTCAGGCAGAAGTAATAACAATTCTGAGTCCTCTTGAACACGTTCCTGGGAGATGAAGCAACCTGAAGATTCAATTCCAAGGGCTCCTGTTCTGCCAAGACTGTGTGTGAGCTTTACACCGCCGCGAGGATCACTTTAACGTACCCTCTAGTTAGAAGGAGTACAAGCTCGGGGATAAAAAGCCACTCAGACACTTTCTCAGTAAGCTGTAGTATTTCCGATGAGCGTTTCAGCATCTGTGGGGCCAAAATCTTCAAGGTCTGATTTCCAAGGAAAATCGCTGCAGTTAAACACGCGACTGCCATCCAAGTTCAGTGCCCTTGCTCCCTTCTGAGAGAACATCAGTGCGCCGATGTCTACTCAGTTTTATTTTTACTGTGCTGTAATAGAAAATAATGGCTTTTTTTTTTTTAATTATTTAGCTATTGTGTCTTGTGGTACAGACAGTCGCTGAGTGCTCAGGGCTATTTCACATCACAGGCTGCTCTGCTGTAAGAGACTGTTCAATTAAAAGGCCAAGGTTGAATTTTCACATGGCTTTTTCTTACCTAAATAAACTTAAATGTCCCATTCCTAATTTTTTTCCAAATTTTCACCCTGAAAATTCTTCGATATTTTAGCCTGGCTGTGAATTTTCAATGAAACTGAAACAACTAATGAAGATTAAGGTGTTTAAGTATCAGCTTGTCATTTGAAAACCCATATAGCTGCTGTAACCAGAATAACTGAGCACCAAGTAGTCTTAAATCAATTCATCTTTCCAGCAAACTATGGCATCATCTGTTCACTTCACCGGGTGGGACACTGAAACAGAGACTTAATGTGCTTCTTAAGGCAATTCAACAAGTCGGTGGTAGCAAAAGCGCTTCAACCCAAGTCTGCCAAGTCTCAAAAATATGAATGAAAATTAATATTAAGTGACAGAAATCAGAACAGTAAAGTCTCTATAAAAGATGAGTTCCTAAAAAGCTCTTACACGCAAGCAATAATCTAGGTAGCTCTGAACAGGGTTCATAAATCCAGACTGCTGCTAGTTTTGAGCAGGGAATTCAGCTGTTATTCAACTTTGGAGTCAGGCAGCTTGGCTCAAAGCCCATTTCAGCGCAGTTAGTTGAAATCTGTGCTCCACCGTAGCCCGGGGCAAGCTTAAAACAGTGTCAGACTGGAGGGAATGGCATGGCTTGGTGTGACTCCTAGCTGAAAACGATCTTTTCCAGGAGGAAACCTGGAACATAGAAAGCTCAGCTGCCGGATCAAGAGCTCTGCGGTAAGAGACAAATCACATCACCAACAAATTTTGGTGCAGAGCTAAACCAAAGCAGAGCAACACAATGATAAAAAGCCTTAACCGAAAGGAGGAAAGAAGGAAGAAAGAATCTAGCCCCAGTATCCAATGACAAAACATGTGATTACAAAAAACACAGGCTCTTGACATAAGATGGAGCCTTTACCACCAAATTCAATGAGACTCATAGCATGTAATCCAGGCAAAAGAAGGTCAGAACCCCATCCTGTTCCCAAAGACCAATGTGGTCTTATCCGAGTGAGAAGTGGCCACATCCTGCTGATGAAGTGACAGTGGGAAGTCCAGTCTGGCACACAAGAAACTGCTGTAACCAAGTCTGGGGCTTGTGCTAGACATGTTAAATTGCTCTCGTAACTGTGGAGAGAAAAGGGTGCAGTCTGGCAGTAGTCCTAAAAATGGTAAAAAATAACTGATCTTGATGTGTTCCAACATGGTTAGTCCTGGATCTGCGATTACACCCACATTCTTGGCAGAGGAGGAAGATGCGGTGTGGTACAGTTAGATGGGCTGAGTAACAAAAAGTAGAGGACAGCATCCGCCTCAGGAGCTGTTCGCAATACAAAATCTGAGCAGGCAGGCCTTACAAATTAATCCATGTGCCAATCTGCAAGCCCCAATAACAGTCATCGTGCCCCCAGGCTACCCACCCCTGTTTTACTAAACCCAGTGCAACGTTCATTCCTTCTCTCCTGCTGCGCCCGGCAGAATTACCCATCTCCAACCAGTGCTCCCAGGAATGGCCTTCATTCCATGGAGGAACAATTCCAGAGGCAACTGCTTTGTAGTTTTACAGTTAATTGCTATATTCTACTCATGATATTCTGGATTCATCTCAATTTCCCACTCATATCTAGAAACTGGGATTATCCTAAATATATTTATCATCAATACATTAGTTTTGCTCCTCTTTTCTACACCGGATGGGACAATGCTGAGACCACTGAATAAAAACATCCCACTGCACGTATTTTGATCTGCACATGTGCCAGTTTATCCCACCGCTTTGGCTCCCTCATCACTGCTGAATTAATCCAATCTAGCAGCAAGCCAACTTGCATCTGCAATCTTCCAAGCCTTGCACCAGAAATCCCAGCGAAAATTTTACCATGGGACAGCAGCAGCCCAAGACTCAGTGGCGTGGAGACCAGAACAATCCCCGAATGTGTTCTCCAAGCGAGAAGGGGTTTCCCAAAGGTGACGGGGTTTGTCATCTCCCTGGAATGTCTTTTACGTGAATGATGCTACTTGAGAACCATACTGTGCCACCCAGTTCATCTCGGTGACGTGCCTGGAGATGAGACCCTGCTCACAGAAGCGCTTTTATGAGTAATGAATGGTTCACAGCCTGCAAAAATTAACAAAAGTGTAACTGTGCACAGCTCCCCCCATTCCTCCAGCATTCACAAGGAGGGGGGGAAAAAAATCCTCCAAACTCCTGCTAAATGCTAGAAAGCTCCAGTCAGAGGAATGACCACTCAAAACTCATTCTGTCTTGGGGTTTTCACTGTGTAAAGCAACTTTTTCTGCTCCTGACCTACAGATCCCACTCTGACCTTTGGCTTGCTGAAAAGTGAGCTAAATATTTGATGTGAAGCCAAACAAACTGTTTCTTTAAACAGCTCTTTTCAGAAATTGGAAAATCTTCCTAATGGAATGAGGATACCGGGGAACCTCTACAGCTGACTAAGTTCTTGCTTGTTTTAGGAGGGAAGCCCTGCATTTTGAAGGAAAGGGAGATTTTTTGCAACCACAGACCAAATGTAACAGGGACATGTTACACTGGAACCTTGCAATCCTTCAAGCTACTAAGGTTCACAGGAGGATGGCAACAGCATCCCACGGTATCAGGGAGCACACGCACATTCTCTTCACCCATCCATTTGGATTTCTCCTCCATTTTTCGGAGAGGTTAGATGAAATGAACAACTGCAGCACGCCGGACCTTTTACTCCCAATTCTGCCTCTGACCTGTTGCGTGGACATGGGTAAAACTCTGCCTTTGTACCTGAGTTTGCTCACCTGTTAGAGAGGGAGATTGACTTCCTGTCAGAGCTGGCTCCCTAAATTATTTAAGTGTGGAAAGCTTGACCATAACCCTTTTCTTGCTGTCCCGGGAGCGAAGCCAAGAAACGGACTCTTGTCTGCCACGTGTCAGCTTGCCATCTTCACGTAGGAGGGGGAGAGATAACTAGGGCTTACGTCGCACTTGTCTGGAAGGCAGCATTTATGGCCAAGCATCGTGGTTCACACACCACCTAGTTTGCTGGTGTAACCAGACCATCGAGGACTGCAAAGAGTCACAATGTGTCACCACACAGACGCGCCGGCAGAAGCCCCTCACGCGGACAGTGAAGCTACTCGTGTCCTGGGTGAGGCAGGGCTGAGCGACAGTGGTGAAAAGTTATCACCCCCCGGGAGCCCTTTGTTGACAGTTGTAGAGCTTGTTAGCACGGCTCTGCTAGCAAAACCCAGCCTCCATCACGCCTCCCCACTACACCCTGATGTTTGAAGGAATGCAAAGGTCACCTGCAGAAACGAAGCGTTTTTTTTCCGCTCTGCGCGGGCTGCCATGCGTGTAACCCCAGTGCCACCGCTCACACACGACCGCGGAAAAGCTGTCCCACTCCACGGACATCGTGGCTAAAACCTCCATTCCCTTCCACAGGCACCTCAGACCTCACACAGACGCTTCCCGAGGCACAGAGCACATTCGTTTGAGGAGAATAAGGTCCCTTCCAACCCAAACCACCGCATGACTGATCTTTTGCTTAGGCCCCAGATTTCTTTAATGCAGACAGGAAAGCTGAAAACAATCCTAGCTGGATAGAGACAGAGAGAAAACCTCTCTTTGAAGCACACAACCAGTGCGGCACTGCCCGTACAGGTTTGCTGAGAAAGAGCCACTGGCCATCACTTCCAGTCATCAGATTTGCAATATTTTTACTCCTTTCCCTTGGGGTCCCTTATGCAATAAGGAGACGAAATACTCAGCTTTCGTTTACTATATATCTCTGCCTTCATAGTTGCAGTGAGTAGAGCATGGATACAGTCTGAATGCTGAGTGTTAAGGCGTAAAATTCCTCCCATGCTCCTAAAATGGGGTTGGTCTATAAAAACCGAGGAAATGGCATTATGAAGAAGACTGCCACTATGCACTTAGCTACCCTACACTGGGTTGCACTTCGTTAGTGCAAACCAGGTGGCATTGCTTACGTGGAAGAGCAACATTCAGGCTGCACAGGCAAGTCCAGTGGTACTTATCTGCTGGAAACAGGGAGACAGAATCGTGGGATCGGCCAGCTTTTCTTACAAACCATCCCTGACCACGTTGGCACCCCCAAAGAAAAACTAATCAGAGCTTTCGCTTTACCCTGAGCAACAAGGGGTGAGAAAGGCAAATAACCCAGAGACAATATGGGATTCAAAGGAGTGGAAATACTGTGCTACATCAGCAAGACAGCCACTTTATGGACTTCACAGCTACAGAAGGTCATGAGGCAAATGCTGCAACTCGATTTTCAAATGAGTCAAGTAATTGTATAAGCATTAATAATGTAGAAATTATGCAAGCTACAACAAGGGCAATTATGTTTCATGCTTTAGACCATAATCTACATTGGTGACAAGAAAAAATCCTTTCTTTCCCCTGGCAACCAGCACTGCAAAGTTGCATGCGACATCCACCTCCTCTCAGCATGTCCAAGCTTGGGCTGGAGCCTCACGGGTTACCTATGGGCTGGTGTAAGGACTGTGCAGCTGCTTTGTTTGAGAAACAGGTTAGGAGAGGTGGAACACAATCCCTGGAGTGTTGCACACTTATTTTTAAATGGCTCGTGCAACAACAAAAGCAAAAGCAGCAAGAATTTCCCTAAGCCTGTCTTAGTATCTGGCAGCTCCTCTTCCCTGCAATGAAATCCTTAAACCCCAAAGAGCCACAAGAAACAAGTACTAGAAGAAATACACTGCAAACACAAAACAACTTATGCACAGAGCAGTTCTATCTCCAGTGCTTCAGGCCAGACATTTAGAGTGACCCTTTTGCCCCCTCCCAAAATTAGCACAGCCTCTTTGCAGAGGCCTGAGCCAAGCCAGGCTCAGCTGTGCTGAGCACTTCCGAACTGGGAACTCTTTCCTGGGCCAATTCTCAGCACCTCTGGGCAGGGACTGAACTCAGAAATCCTTTGTTGCTTATTGTCTTTCAGGGGATCATCTTAACTATAGGCTGGAGAATGACACATCTGGGGAATAACATACTTTTTTCTTCATAAAAAGTCAATTTTTGGCAGGTAATGCAATTTGGATGTAGAGCTGAAATTTGGTCACTCACACAGCAGGCAGGGGATGCAGCTGGGGTCTCCAGTCATGGGGTCTAGTTCACACACCACAGGACTGCAACAAGTAACACCAAACATCTCGAGAGTAGCGAGCTGGAGTAAGAACAAACTTTCTTGGGGACTTGCTAAGAACTGCAAACTCTGGGCAATGCGCTGATGTGGTTGATGCTCGGGTAGTTGTAAACAGAAGACGTTAGGGCTGTATGACCAGTTGGGCTGATGTTACACTAAAGAGCATACCTAACGTGGAACGGATTGTCCCGTCCATAAAACACATGAGCCTGGTACTACCTAAAGCCTTACACTTAGAGCAGGAATCAGTATCCAGGTCTGTGGACATCCACACTCAGGCTGCAGCGGGTCCTGCAGACCTCCTGGTGTTTACTGGTGTAGAAAGGAGGTGCGTTTACTGGTTACTGCAAGATCTCACAGGACTGTAACAAGTGTCCTCAGGGAATGCACAGCCTTCCAGCTCTAAGCCTTTTGGTTGTTCTTTAAAGACATTACATGGGGTTGAGTTTTAGCCAAGTATGTGTGAGGAAATCTCTCTCCGCTGCCAGGCCAGGATGCTGGCTGGATCACGGATCCAAATATTCTCTTCTTCCAGCCTCAGACACTCGCATCTTTTGATTCCCAACCCACATCAGCTCAGCGCTCAGGAAATGGGCTCCATGACCGTACCTTGTGGGACAGCACCTTGCTACCATGAAAATGGTGCCAACAGCTAACCGTATCCAGGTCAGGCACGTTGCCCAGCTGTGGGAGACTAGGTCTGCAGCTAGGTCAACGCAGAAAGCTTTTCTCACAGCTAGCTGCAGCACTCAGCACCAGATGTTTCCTCAGCATAGCACTCAGTGTTCTAAGATCTGCATCAGAATTTAATGTGAGGAGGAAGAAATTAAGGATCTTGTAGAACAGCACAAGCATTTTGTTCTAGATCCTGAAAAGGAGTTCAGAGAGCAAGTCGTGGTCTGGGGAACATGAAAGCTCATCCTTGTGTGTTGAGTCCTTGGTCCTAGACCATGGTCCCACTAGTGAAGGCATAGTGACAGTGAAGGACCTCAAAGGAAGCACTTTGGGAAGCTGGGGAGAGTGAAGGACGAAACAAAAAATCAGCCAAAGCTAATATTCAGCACTGGGTTTGTAAAAGGAATGGATACAGGGAACAATGTGAGACAGGGCGCTCATTCTTCTGACAGCCATTTGGAAACATTCATCCCCAGCTTTTGCGGATGCGAAACCTTAGCTCAAGGAGGCTGCAAATCTCCAGTGTAGCCTCCTGAAAACCTTTCACAGGGAATGAGAGAAAGGAGGAAGGCCAGACCTCACCAGCAGGGCTTGAAGCAATCATTACTCAGCCATAGAAACATACATCAGCCCTTGGAACAGTAGGACAGGCAGATGCAAATACAAACGGAGGCAAATTTTTAAACTACTTACTCGGGAACCTCTCTTGCCAGGTGGTCCTGGTAAGCCCGGCAGACCTGGTGGACCCTAGAAAAAACAAAAGTAAGTATTAAAGATGGCTCTCCAACAGGATGGTGCTCCTGACAGCGTTTCATGGAGATCCATAATACAAGCCTTGGGAGAAAACCTGGGAAGAAGGGCCATTTGTAACACCACAACCAGAATTTCCCTTCAACTTAGGCTATTACCATAAAGGGATAAAAGCCATACGCAATAACTTCTGCAGTAACATATATTTCCACAGAGCAGAGACAGAGCGTTCACATCCTTGAGCTGTGGAGTGCATTGCCGTGATCACAGCTGTGTTTCACGCTTCCAGTTTCCTGGACCCATGCTGTATCACAGGGGTAACACAACTGTCTCTCAGCTTCAGTTTCCTGCTACGTGCTAGCACACAACAGAAGTAATGTGTTAGCACCTTGGCGAGGGAGGGACGCTGTGTGTTGTAATATACACCAGCTGAGGTCGCACAGTTCTTGGTATTGTAGGTTCCTACAGGAGTTGCAACATAATCGCATCCCAGCACTTCATATTTTAAAGCAGCGTGTTATAAGATGTAATAAAATCGGTGTCAATGTTGGAAATTCTTAAATACGGCTCTGTAATGCAGAAGAGGTCAAGTCATTCATGTCAGAGTAGTGGGAGTTCTTGGAAGAGGGTGAGAACAAAGTGGAGATATCAGGCGCCCAGCTGTGCACTGATCTAAAACAGGTTAGGAGAAAATACTTAACCAATGAGGCTTGAACTCCTCTGAATTTATTCATTTATTTATTCATTTTTTTTCAATGGACTGGAGAATTCAGATTTCTGGAAAGCCATTTGCAACTCCTAATAACTCCTCAAAATTTCTTTTCTCCCATGCCAGACATGTCTAACAAGAATAACTGTTAATTAAAGTGTCTCCCAGAGGATTTATATTCTACTAGCTTGTTACAAAAGACAAGTTTTCATCGCATTCAGGGGAGAGAGAGCTGCAGACTGAAGGATGTTTGGAAGGCAGCCTGAGCTCTCCAACTGTGTGGTGGTCAGGAGAGCAGGTCTCGAGGGAACGCTCCGTGGGGAAGATGGGTGCAGCACACGGAGCAAGTGCAGTACAAGCCCCACGGCCACCCTCTGGCCCCAGCACGGCCTCGCTCCCTTCCCACCAGCCCATCTCTGCAGGGCCTCACGTGCACGACCGCCCGGAGCGGAGCCTGCTGCATGCCTGACCCTGCCGCTGCGGGCGGACAGCCAGGCACGACTGCTCAGGTTCTGCAGCGTGCCACTGGTCCCCAGCAGGAGTGACTTCATGATCTCTAATGCAGTCTTCAGGAGTCATCACGTGCATGATATAGTGACAAAAATAAACCCTGGAGATCCATATCCAAAATCTCATGCTCAGAATAAGGTTTTGAACAGAGAAAACCTGCCTGAACCATGTAGGTAACTGATGAATAAACACTCCCTTAATATTATCAACCTTCCTATAGCAGCAAATTAATTCATATAAAAGTGATATTTTAAAAAGAGACATCCAGCTAAACTCTGTACAGTAGTAAAAAGTCAAAGGGAAGAATAAGCAAAGCCCAGGGTAGGTCTCTGTGCTACTAACTAGTCAGGACATGGAATGAATCATAACTAACTTTTTTTTTCCCCTGTAGTTATTTCTATCTGTAGTAAAAATTACAAGAAAAAGATTGTTTTGAAAGCATAAGGGCCTACACAGCACAGAATAGCTAATGCCCCACACTTAAACAGACCGGGGTAGACTTCTATCACCGTATCCCTCACTGCTACTCCCCAACACTGCTGCCTGCCCAGGGGATTTCCAGTCTCTCTAGCCTGGGATGCTTCATCTGACCCCTTTGCAAGCTGGTTATTGCCAGCTTACACAGTATTACTGGTCCTTGTATTAACAACCCTCATTGATACAGCTGACCCTCATTTCAGCAATACACACAGCATTTTAACCTGCCATTGTGCCAGCTCAGGGCCCCGTGCATAATGCAATTATACAGCTGTGCAAATAGACACATGATTGTAGGGGTTTTTTAAGCCTCGTATATAATTGTGCTCCAGAATCCAAGCTTTTATTAAAAAAATCCCCTTGCCCTTTTAGTTGGGAAGATAACTATCAAAACATGAATCCAATGCAACTGATACCGCAACCGTTCGCAGAGTTTACCAAAGACTAAGTCACGTCCTTAACCTCTTCTCCATCAAAACCCATCCCTGTTTACCCCTAAAAGGAGAAGTAAAAGGGAAGATGCAATGGAAAACTGCGTTCCACGCGTACCAGACCTGAGGCGACCTTTTCCACCTTCCTGCTAACAGCAGCTGTAATTGTACTTGGCCACTTGAGTAAAAACCTCTTCCAAAAATGTGGGCTCTTCAGAATAAACTGAAGCTAACATAAAAATAAGGAGTTAATACCTGCACTGGAGTGGGAATACGGCGTTAAGGGAAAGGCACGTAGCTAGAACAGCACAGAAAGACCACGTACATAATCCAGGAGTTCCTATTGCTTTGCTTTGGTTGAATTTGTCTTTCCTTCAGCCTTTCTTTTTCCCTCTCCTGAATAGCAAGAGGAATAAGGTGACTGTGGGATGAGTGGCTAAAAGGTACCAGCCATTCTAGCAACTGCGTAAGACAAGAATACAACCATGTGCGAATCAGAAGTAAGTTGAGGTGGAAGAGGGCTGGCATAGCTGGATGACCAGAGGTCGCCGTGAACACGATGCACTTCAAGACCACCTTCTAGGTTCTCACATGGTTCTTTGGCAGTTGGATTGGATGGGACACGTATTGTGCCCTCCTAGTAACTCACTTCTCCTCTGCCCTGTACATATGCCTCTGTATCATCCAGCTCCAGCTCTGGAACATGAGGCCCACGTCAGACTGGCTTTGCCTGGGAAGAGCAATACTGAAACACACGCAAAGAAAAATGCACATCCGCAGAGGCAGCCAGAGAAGAGTAAGACTGGATCAGGGCCCAGCTACTTACAGATGATGGATGAAATTCCACTTAAAACATAAGGCTCCGAGACACGGAGTAAGAGACGCCGACCAGCCAGCCACCTCGCAGCAGGCTGCTAGAGCCCGCCTGGAGGCAATGCCCATGTCCCTGCACTCGGAGACATCTCCGCCCTCAGCCCCAGTGCGGGGAAGAGCTAAACTGACCACACAGAGCCTCTGCGGACATTCCCACTGATGTCTTCAGAGCATGCCCAGGGAAGTCCACAGCGAGCAGCGCTCTGAGAGGCAAGAAGGCATCCTTTTCCTGGCAGCTGGAGGAAGACATCACTGCCCTGCTCCTGCCCGCCCATTGCAGGGACGCCCCATGAGATCGGCAAAGCTGACGGCCTCCCGCAGCGAGGTACCGTTCCTAGCACTTCGGTTCTAGCCTCTGGCTTCCTGCCTGCTCCTTTCCTCAGAGAACACACACCCTGTTATCGCACAGAGCAAAATCAGAGATCAAGGAGAAAGGTGGCAGAAGCAGATACTCTCTCTTCTCAAGCCAAACAGCTGAATCATTAACCAGTTCTGTGAAGCAGCTAACAGCAGCCACATAAAAGTTTAACCCTTCTCAGTTTCCCACGGTAGCATTAACAATGATGACTGATCCCACCAAATGATTATAGGATTTATTCTAAGCTGCTGCTGGGAAACTTTCTGGCACAAAAGGGACTGTTTTCTTAGCTTTTTGAGCTTCAAACTGCAAGTGGAAAATTGAACTAAAGGGAAATACATTGGACCCTGAGGACAAGAGAAATCTCACCATTTCCTCTTGCTGCTGAGATCAGGCAGTTTAACACCTCTGCCTCTCCCACACTGTGACCCTCCCCACTGTGCTTCCTCTGCCCGCAGCAACGCACGCCCCTAGGAGCTGGGTGCCTTCAGATCTCCGAACCTGAGCAAGACTGAGCCTGTTCCGAGGGGGCTTCAAGGAAAGCATAACCGGTAGAGGATTTGGTGCTGGTGACGTGGGAAATGACTCGCTTCCTTTTGAACGGCTACTGAATCAACTGGCTCGGATAGCAAAGTGCTCCCATACCCCTTTCCCCAGGGCCAAGTACCCAGGACACGGTCCAGCTCATACTCCAGAGCACACAGAGACTGACACATATATGCTTCAGGGTCCCTCCAACCCCTCCTGCCTCCCCTGGTCTCCCCACACAGCACCAGTGGCACAGACCTCCTTTATCCCAGAAACGGGTGCGTTTCAAGGTGGGCATCCTGCACTGTGCAAAACACCGCAAGGTCTGCAGAGGGAGGAGAGAACATTCTTCTTCCTCAGATGCTGATGCGTGTGGTAAAACCCAACTTAAAAGGAAGTTCAGAAAGCACATCAGAAGTTTCTCACCACACCCATCAAGCTGTGAGCAGCGAGGTTACCCCTGCAGATGGAGAACCTGCCTTGGTTTCTTCCTGGAGGAGGACGAGGCACATTTCACACACAAGGCCACTGCCACGAATCCACCGTTCAGCCCCGTGTGTCTCAAAGCAGCAGCACGGAGGGACTGAGCAGCTACATGGGCAGCACTAGAATTAAAAATCCCCTGCTCAGGAGAACAGGAGAGAAGACCACCTCCTCTTCAAAAGACATGCCAACCCCGCTTCTCCTCACTGCCTTGCCTGGCACTGCACCGAGGGGGAGACAGGACCTGAACCAAAACCTGGCCTGAAGTACTGCCCAAAGCAAATCTGGATTTTTTTGGGGAAAAAAAATTAAGCTCTTTGGTTACTTTCTTCTCCAAGGCAGACTTATCATATTAAATTTGGACACGTCTGGGTTTCAATCATTCTAAAAAGAAAAAGCCCTCATAATTCTGGCAGGAACTGAGGTGTTGGTGGAAAGCCAGTCTTGTAACATGACTTTTGCAAGAGACACAGATATTTATCCCTGGTCTGTACAACACCTATCACAGAAGAGTCCTTCTCCACAACTGGACTCCTAATTGAGAAGCAGCACAACAGATAACAAAATATTAGCATTCCAGCTTGATGGAAGCAGCTTTTCTACAGGGATGTTTCAGGAACAGTCTCTA